CCTCCCCCCCCCGCCCTGCGCAGGTGAGGACAGAGACCGCGGTGGTTGGAGCCTGACCGAAACGTTGTGCTTCCCCGGCAGATATGCAGTATGATGAAGACGATGATGAAATCACCCCCGACTTGTGGCAAGAAGCCTGCTGGATTGTTATTAGGTGACTTCTTAAAACCCACTGTTCTTAACGCTTCGGCGTACGCGCTCTCGGCCTTGCAGGCAGCGCCCAGTTCGCTTGCAGCGTGTCGTGGGAGCCGCAGGCTCGGTCGCGCTAAATAGCGTGGTTTAGCACTTTCAGAGCAGAAACAGCAGGGTGGTGGTTAGGTGTCAAGAAGCCCTGATGAACCCCCAGGGGGGTGCACTGTCTTGATTGCAGAGTGATTTTTGGTTCTATATCAAGCGCATGATTTTGCCCACTACTCTCACAGCTGATGCTGGCATTAGGAAATCATTACTTAGCTATTTCATCGTGTTGGTGTTTTTCTAGCAAGACATAAATGTCCAGGACCTGCAGCTTCTTGTGACCATTAAGGAGTGGGATGCTGCGTGGAACTGAGTAAAAAGCATTTCTCTTGCTAATTGCATCCTTTGCAATATGTATATGACTGGTGTCTTAGGGCAGTAGTTGCAAACAGAACAGTGGATCTGCGGGGATGGTCCCACAGGCAGTCTGGATGGAGAGCAGAGATGAGAAACTTCGGAGGCAGGAGGAGGTCCTTTCTCTTGCAGCTCAGTGGAGTGTGCTACCTTTGCTTTCCGTCAGGTGGGAGGAAACGGAGGCAAGTCCTTCAGCCAAGGCTGCACCTCACTCCATATGATGAAACACCTTGCTGTGAGGGTGACTGAGCGCTGGCATGGGTCGCTCAGAGAGGTTATAGAGTCTCCGTCCTTGGTGGTATTTAAAAGCTATCTGGACGTAGTTTTGGGCAGTCAGCTGTGGGTGACCCTGCTTGAGCGGGGCGATAGGACAAGATGACCTCCAGAGGTCCCTTCCAACCTTGACCGTTCAGTGATACAGGTTGCCCTTTCCCTTCCTCCTTCCCATTGTTCGGTAGCAGACCCTGCTGGCAAGATTCACTGTGGCAATAGCATGGTAGCCAAGGGCATGTCCCCCTTCTTGGGGAAGCCTGAGGTTATTAGTAGGGAAGTAGTCCTTACCAGTTTTCTCTAGGGATCTTGGCACTGATGAGGCAGAAGCTGGTAGAGTGGGTTCCCCAGCTGGCTTCAGGAATGTGAGGTAGAGGAGCTTGCTGGCAGGAGCTCATGCAGCAGACGTGTTTAGGTCATCCCATTAAAAGTTAGGATGTGGGGCTTCAAATTTAGTCTTTGGTTTTTACAGTTAGGTTGTGCTGGGTTGAAGCTGGGTGACACAAAGGCTAGGGGAAATCCGAAGAAACAGTGAAGCTGGGAATCTCTGTGGCTGGAACAGAGGGGATCCAAGCTAAGAAAAGTTCTGAGAACTGTTACCTTGACTTAGGGGCATGCACTTGGTTTACTGCAGCTTGGAAAATGAGTTAAAGCAAAGTAATTTATGTACATTGTTGAAAACTTTAGCTGAAGTCACTTTTACTGAGGTTTCAGTGATCACATTTCCCTTCTCATTTAAGGTAGATGGTGTGTACAGTAATGGCTTAGCCAAGAGGTGGCAGCAACTGTCACTTTGCAGTGTCTGTGCCTTCAAACACTGAGGGAGAATTGTTTAGCGTTTTTGAGCATCTGTGTTTGAAACTCATGCCTTGGGAGAAGTGAACGTGTTTGATTCTGTACTGTGTTTCATGGCTTTTAAAGGTTTTGTAATAAATACATCTTAAACTTGTTGATGTATAAAGTACATGACTTAAGGTCTGTTGTTCATTAATGCACTTTTTTTTTTTTAGCTCCTATTTTGATGAAAAGGGTTTAGTCAGGCAACAGTTGGATTCTTTTGATGAGTTTATTCAGATGTCTGTGCAGAGAATTGTTGAAGATGCTCCACCAATTGATTTACAAGCTGAAGCCCAGCATGCCACAGGAGAAGTGGAAGAGCCGGTAAGTGGATACCCCCAACAGAGATGATGTGGTTTTTATCATGAAAAATTATTTTAGCTGGGTTTTATTCAGCCCCCATCTCAAGAGACAGGAATACCTCTGAGTTATGACATGGCTCCTGCAGCCATTGGGACAGAAGTATGAACTCTTTGGAGTCTGTGATGTACATGGCCAAGTTTCTAGACAGTCCGGTATACGGATGAGAAACACACGCCAGAGCTTTGTTATCCATGGAATCCATCTTCCCTCTCCTATAGAGTTACTCTCTCCTGCTGGTTAAATCGTTGGTTGAGTTGAGAAATGACCAAGAACAGTTGGCTGCTGCAGCTCATGTTCTCAGTTACTGTATGAAACTGCGCTGGTGGGGATGTATTAGAGCAAGTCAGGTAGCCAAAAGCAAACCATGTTTTGGTGGAATTTTGATTTTCAGTAGCTTTACCGTGGCAAGAAGGGTTTATGGCTGAAAAGTTGTCCGTTAGCTATCTTCAGCCAAAGTTAGGTCCAGGTTTTCAACGGGTGCCATTGCTCATCATCTTCTGTTGGCACCATGTTCCAAAGGAGACCAAATCATCTAAGGTCTGCACTGTGTGATGGCTCTTCTGCCATGAGTGTGCATCTTCTAACAGTGGCTGTGGTGCTTTTGTCCTTGTCCCTCATGTAGTGTGGTCCCTGTTCCATAAGTGATCCATTCCCCTGCTATCAGTCGCTACCTTGCCGCTTCCTTGTAGCGATTTAAAGGAACATTAGGACACCTGAGCATTGAATTTGTTACGCATTTTGACTGTTCCTTTGCATTCTGTAAAGAGGATAACTAAGATTTCTTTTGGTTTCTTTGTTACACAAACAGTTCATAAACATTTATTTCACTGTAATTCTCCTTAATGTTTCATCTGTTATTCTATGTATATTCCTGCGGAATTCTCTAGCTATGCAGTTCTGCAATTGCTATACATAGTTAAGGTTCAGATCACAAGCATGGTATGTACCTGGCTTATTTTTGCCCAAAAGCTAGTATTTTACTTTCTCAAATCAGAGAGGTTCGTTTCTTATTCTTGTTTATCAAATTAAAGTTTTTTAGGAATAGGTCTAGATATGAGAAAAAGGAAACTTGCCTTTTCCTTCAGAGTCGCTTGCAGGCAAACTTCCCTCATTTGAAGATACTGGATTAATTTAAGGAGACTGAACGTATTGGACTAATTTGACTTTTTGTTTCCTTCTCCCTCCACTTCTCAGCCTCAAATTCTGAAGGCAATTTGGGCAATTTATAGTGCATCAGATGGTTTAGCAACTATGCTCAGAGGTAGGAATTACAGTATATACATTCTCCTTGAGAGCGCTTGCATGAGAACTTGGTACTATACTTGGCTGATGCTGCAAATCCAGGAAAAGGGTGTTTCTTTGGGTAAGAATTGAGAGAATTTTTTTGGCCTACAAAATGCCAGCAAGTTTCTGCCACCTTACTGTTGTAGGAAGCTTTTGTGCCTTTTTGAAATCAGATTGTTTTCAGGTCTTTTCCGATAATTCAAGTCTTACTTTGTTTACTGATCCTATAGAATCATCCTAGGAACTGGCGTTGCCCAACTTGCTGTGTTTTCAGTTACTGATAATGGTTATCCCTCTCTGGTAGCAGTTTTGGTTAGTAATGACTAAGAGAGAGTATCTTGAATACAGAAGGCTTGTTATTAATGTATCTTGTGGATAGAGCAGCAGTGACACTTCAGTTTGCCTGAAAGCTGTGGGGTTTTTGATAAATTGATGCAATAATCTGTTTAATCTCCAGAGGAAACGAAACCACGTAGCACAGATGTTAAAAATATGGTTTCTGTGGCTCTGTGTAAGACAAAATGTATGGGATGGGTAATTTACACCTTTGCCTTTAATGATGAGTCCAGAGAAAGGGCTGAATATGAGGACTTTGAAAACATATTTTAGAAAGGCTAAAACTTATTGTTTCCGTCGCAAGTTGATGACTTTTTTTTTTTTTTTTTCTTTTTTTTTTTTCCTCTGCATTGGAGCTTGCTCTGCTAGAGCAAGAGTGTTGCTTTGGTGTTGTCCTACAGTGGAGTCCTTATGGCTGAGATACCATAAAATGCCTGCATGGAATTCAAGCTTTGTTTTAGTAACAAATGTTCTCAGCTGGCTTCTAGGCAGATACTTAGTAGGGGTAGCAGCACTGTAGTTCTTTATTTGTGTTAGCTTCTGTTCTGCAAAGGGACACAGTGGCAAATAGCAACTCGAAGCAAAGGTTGTAAGGCAACAAGCCTTTCAACTTGTATATGTGCAGATCTGATGATTTGCTTATGTTTCCCCACCCCGCTTGACTTTGGTCTGTGAAGGAATGCTTCATGAGTAGAGCAGCTCATCTCTAGGTCCTTTTGCGTGCAAGGAGGCAAAGAACCAAGTTGCCTCGGCATGTTTGTGTGCCACACATGTAGAAACACTTGAACAAAGCTACTGTTGTGTAACTGCTTGCTTTCTTTTAAGTTCTAGCTCCCCCTACCAGGTACACAAATGCACTTTGATAAGAGTGTTGGTTTAAAACTTTTACCCCTTTATTTTAAAGGCTTTTGATTTACGTGAACTGAATGCTGTAAATCTCATTGCAGTAGGATTCTGAGGGGTGAGTGGCTCTCCGAGCAAAATGAAGACCCTGAGAATTGTTCTATTGCTGGGGGTATCTGTGCTTTCATGCCTGCCATTGTAACACATGAAAGGATTTCTGTGGAACTAAACCAAAGCTATTAAATTTAATGTTTTATGCATGGGAGCAAAGCTTTACAAAAACTCGCACCTTGTTTGATATGTCACCTATCTCATTGTATGCGTTGAAGCAGAGTCACCTTTTTGCATCATAAAACTAGCCGTTTTCTCTAAAGTTACATAAATATCTAAGTAGGCACATGTAAGGCATATTCTAGTTGTCTATATATTCTCTGACTTGGCGAATTTTGAGTTTCTTACCTATTTTATAGAACGAAGACCAATTTGGGTACTTTATTCTTCTCTTACCAATGTTTTTGATTCCTTATTTTCCTCTGGTTTGTTTTGGGTTTGTGGGTTTGTTTTTTTTTTTTAATCAATGAGGTGTTTAGAAATTATTGAAAGTTTTTGAATGCTTTTTTGATCTAGTAATCTGAAGCGGGATTGTTCCCATACCTTGAGCTGAGGACATGTGGCAGTATTGGGTATTAAGCTCTAGGGCTGCTTTTGAACAAGCAAAATGGATGTTGCTTCCATTACAGGTAAATGTTGTCTTGTTTTCCAGCCCCGGTATCTGCTGAAATTTGAACAAATCTATCTCTCGAAACCTACACATTGGGAAAGAGATGGAGCACCCTCGCCTATGATGCCCAATGAAGCCAGACTGAGAAACCTGACGTAAGAACAAACTCTGTAGTGGATAGACACAAGGAAGGACTGGCCCTGCATTATAAATTGATAGTCTTTTTCAATTTAGTAGTGCCTTGAAAATGTAGTGATTACTGCTCTATTTAAATTTTGATGTCTAGTTATTAAATGCAGATGGTGATGGTGACAGATAACAATGGTGTTTTTATTCTGTAGGTATTCAGCCCCCTTGTATGTGGATATAACTAAAACAGTTATTAAAGAAGGGGAGGATCAGTTACAGACACAGCATCAAAAAACTTTTATAGGAAAAATTCCTATTATGTTACGTTCAACATACTGTTTGTTGAATGGCTTAACTGACCGTGATCTTTGTGAACTGAATGAATGCCCGCTTGATCCTGGTGGCTACTTTATCATTAATGGATCAGAAAAGGTAAGGGATTATACCTTGCACAGTCATCTTTACAGACACTGAAAGTTCTGTTGCTTGTTTCCGTATGTTTTGCCAGGAACATAAGCACTTTTATTCCAGTTTATCACAGTTACTGCAGGCACTTGTAATCTTGTAGAAAGATGGGCTTTTTGTCCTGTTAGGACTTTCTTGGGTGACCTTCTCCTCTTCTCTGAGGCATGTTTCCCTTCATTGGTTTCATAAACTGTTTTGCTGTGAATGCCATTAAGTACTCTAGATACCTTCCTTTCATTTTTCGATATTGCAGAGCAGCACGCTCTCTAAAATGAGGTGGTACTTCACTCAGTCTCCTCCAGTTTGTTCACAGCTGTATAGATGCATTTTAATATAAGAATAGGCTCTTCCTTCTGTTGCTGTGGATTCAGCTTGAGCAAATCATACCCTCTCCATGCTTGTGCCTCACGAATGAAACTGCCAGGTTTTTGTAACTGACATCTGGGCAAACGCAGCAAAAGAAATAGAATTATATTTTTCTTCTTGGGAGGGGAAAAAAAAATTGGCTTTGACTGCTGGAGCTGGCATTTAAATTTAAATGCCTGTGTAGTGCATTGGCCTTGGAAACAGATAGTGAAATGCTTTCTTTATCAGTGTTGTGCCTAAAGCTAACACAAATGTCTTGGCGCAACTAGCAGTAAGTACATCACAGAGAACAGTGTTCTCGGAGTTTGTTGTTTTGGTTATTCTGTCTTAACTAGGTCTATGTTTTGCTTAATACTGTATTTTTAAAATGTGGAGTATAATCCAGCTGAGCTTGGCAAATTGACTTCATGCTGTGCAGTGCTCTTAACGTTATGGCACCTGAAGGAATAGTAGAAACATACTGTGCTTGTTACTTTCAGAGTGCCCTTTTGTCAGTTATTTACTAGTGTCCTTTTTTCTAACACAGGTTCTGATTGCTCAAGAGAAAATGGCTACAAACACAGTATATGTGTTTGCAAAGAAGGATTCAAAATATGCCTACACAGGAGAGTGTAGATCTTGCCTGGAAAATTCCTCTCGACCAACAAGTACTATATGGGTTAGCATGCTGGCCAGAGGTGGGCAGGTATGCCTAAGCAGTAGTAACCCCTACCTTAGGGCTTACAATAAAGATTGTTTTGGGAGTTTTGTTACTGTCCTGTCTCTTCATATAATTTACTTTCGGGATTTTGAGAAGACATTTCTTCTGATGCGAAGTTACAAAGAAGGTAAAATTAAATGAAATTGTATTCTGTTTGTCGTAGATTATGCCTGTCTCTGGGACAAATAATTTGAGGATTGAAATGAAGACTCAATTTGTGGCAGGTTTTAGGATGCGGCTAAAAATAATTTTAGAATTACTGTAAATGAATTTTTTTAGAAAATCCAAACAAGCTGTGTCCTGTTCTTTGACAAAGGACAAGAATAGGAGCGGGAACCCTGTCTTTACTGATGGCCAAGCTAGTGTTTAGATGTGTTTTTCAGACCACATATTAATTCATATTTAACATCTAATTGTGCCATCTGTGAGGGAAAATAAGTTCTATTCATAATTTCAAAAGCAGAAAGTGTCAGTGCTCATTTACCATTGCACTGATGTTTGGGAAATTCCCAAACATGTTCCAAGAGTAACTTCAATAGAAGCCTTGCATCACTCTCATTCCTAACATCTGGTGCGCTCTTGAGTGGTTGTCCCTCTGCATCCCACAATGTTTGTTTCTTTCTGGGAGGGAGAGCAGCTACAGTTGTAAGAATGGCGAGCCTTACACAGTGGATTAGAAAAGCTGGGCTTAAGCTGACGGAAGGAAAGCCGAAGGTGGATAGGATTGCTCTTTGCAAAAGGGAGAGAAACGATGCACGCAGGTGAATGATTAGTATTGTTTAAATTCCTTTGTATTGGCAAAAACCTTCCAAGTTTTTGCAGACTTCTAAAGTTAGAAATGTTTTTAAAATAAAAAAAGTTACTGCTGGAGTAAGGTTTCAGAATAGCCCCTTAGCTGGCCTGCTGAGACATCATGGTTTCCTGTAGTGCTTGAATAAATACACTTAATACTGTAGCCAAATCCAGGGATATATTTTTATTTAAAGGCAAGATCATTTAAGACTAATATCTGTTTCTCCACGTCTTTTCAGGGTGCGAAGAAGAGTGCTATTGGTCAGCGCATTGTAGCAACTTTGCCATATATCAAACAAGAAGTCCCCATCATAATTGTCTTTCGTGCGCTAGGCTTTGTGTCTGACAGGGACATTTTAGAACACATCATATATGATTTTGAAGATCCAGAAATGATGGAAATGGTAATATATGTTAAAGAAGTTATTTCCTGGGTTGACATTTGGCAATGTGTAGGTGTGGCTAATCATCATTTAAAGTATTGTTCATTTTTCAATTGTAATTTATTGTTCTATTATTTTTGTGGGTTGTCTATTAGAAATGTCAAAAGTTCTCTTCTAAACCTATTCTAATGAGTATTTTAAGTGAACAGAGTGCAATGGAAATTTCAGAGAGTTAATATGTATTTTAAGAGGTTAGGGTCTTACCCTCCTGCCATTGACTTTAATTGTAAAATCCCGATTTATACCTGAAACAGCAACAGGCCTAGAATGTACTTGAATGAGAACTATTTTCTGAAGTTTAAACTGTTCATTGTGTGCTTCCTGTGTGCTCTATTACTGTTTTCTGTTGCTCTTGAAAGAGCTGCTATAGTAAAGCCAGAAAGAACTGGATCAATAATTAGCAGTTCCTGAACAGAATCATCAGCAAACTACTGTGTAGTTTCCTTCAACACCAACAGGCACTGGATGCTACAGAATTTTGCTGTGTTTTGTGCATTAGGTCAAACCTTCTCTGGATGAAGCGTTTGTCATTCAGGAGCAAAATGTTGCTCTAAACTTCATTGGATCAAGAGGTGCAAAGCCGGGTGTCACCAAAGAAAAGAGAATCAAGTATGCTAAAGAAGTCTTGCAGAAAGAAATGCTCCCACATGTTGGTGTCAGTGACTTCTGTGAAACCAAAAAGGCCTATTTTCTAGGGTATGTCACTATTTTCTGTCACGCATCTGCAAATGGACCCTGAATACAGATTTTATTCACATACATACGATTGGAAGAACACACTGAATGGGAATTTGTTTTTAACCTTAGTCTTCTGGATACTCAGTGATAAACTTTAGGGGACTGGTGTATTTCCACAGCTGAGAAAATGCAGGTGTCAATAAAATCGAAAACAAAAAGTTGAAACAAAACAAACCTCTGACATATTCTGGATCTTAAATTAAGATGTATTGATAGTGATAAATGACTTTGTTTGACATCACATCGCACGGAGAATACGTAGAGGTTGATAACTAACGTGTAGATAACTACTGATAAGCTGTTTGCAATGTCTTTAAGACTATTAGTACGTCCTCTTGATCGCTGCTTATTGGTATGCACATGAACCTTAGCATCGGGAAACTTAACATTTTACACCTGATTCCTTGTGCTTAAACATAGCCTGAATTACAGTACAGGACAGACATGTAGCAGAAAACGTGTTGCCACCATGATGCTAATATTAACTTCTCCCTGAACTTTCAGTGGGTCATGCACCTCTGAGGACATATGTGCTGAAGAGGTCTGTTTTAGGACAGCAGTATCCTAAAGATCTAGAATGGAAAACCTTTAGGGAACTGTTCACTGATTTATCTGTGAAAGCATGTCATCTTTGTTGTAAATGTCTGCTGTCATTTTAAAACATAAACTATCTTACTGCTTTAGGTATATGGTTCATAGATTGTTGCTGGCAGCCCTGGGAAGAAGAGAGCTTGATGACAGAGATCATTATGGCAACAAAAGACTGGATCTTGCTGGGCCACTGTTAGCTTTCCTGTTCAGAGGGTAACTATAATATATACGTTTTCTTCAGAGATGATTAATGGTAGAGGTATTGCCAGCTCTGTGCTTCTAAATCAATCCGACTATTCTGGTGCGTCTGATACCCAGTCCTGGGCAGCACAGCCTGTATCTGATTATGGCTTTTTCATGGAGTGGGTAAGTTTCCTCTAATAGCAGGTGGCTAGCATCAGCTTGTTTTGAAGCATATTTTGTGCATGTTTGCCATTTGTTTTGTTTTATTCCCCCTTCCTCCTCTAGTTGCAAATTAATTGCCAGTGGAGGCAAGTAGCAATTGCCAGGAGGCCAGTGGCATTTTTTCCAAATAGTGCTGGGTAGGCTGAATTGCTACAGTACTGTTTAATGATTCTTGGCACCTTCTTCTACAGAATGTTTAAGAACTTGCTGAAGGAAGTGAGAATATATGCACAAAAGTTTATTGACAGAGGGAAGGATTTCAACCTGGAACTGGCAATTAAAACAAGAATTATTTCAGATGGTTTGAAGTATTCATTGGCAACTGGAAACTGGGGTGACCAGAAGAAAGCTCATCAGGCCAGAGCAGGAGTATCTCAGGTACAATAGCTGAATAAGGCATGGTAGCATTTGTCAGGTTTACATAAAACTATATCATGGAAGAGTTTAACATTGCTTGGCAGCCATGCATGTTGTATGTTAAATAGAACCACTTTTAAAAGGAAACTTCCAGAGCTGAAACAGATGAGCAAAGACTTTTCATGTTAGAGCATGTGCTTGTGTGTCTGGTCAAGATCTAGTCTCAGGGAATCTTTAGGGAGGCTGGATTTCTTTCCTTTAATTACTTCCAGTGCTTCACAGGTGGTTAAAGAAACTTGAGTGATACCTTGTAATGTAACAGTTATGTATTCCACAGCTAATGATGAGGAGCACTGACTTTATTAGCCCACAGCAGTGCTTAGTTGAGCTTGTTTCTCATAAAGGTGGAAACAGGAGAGAGGTGAGAGTTTTTTAAATGCCAGCACATTTTGTTGTCTGGGGCACTGGTGAGATCATAATTTGGGGAAAGCAAAGTTAGGAAAGGGGCAAAAATGGTAGCTGTCCCTGGATTGTGTGTCGTTGGTGTATGTGTATGAGGGGCTTGTTTGCTTTTTAAATAAACTCTCACATTTCAGGCTGTAAAATTAAATTTTCTTAAATGTTTGGAAAGCCTTGAGCAGACTCCGAAAAGAATATAAATGGTGATTTGCTCCTAATAACTAAGTCATCTTAGTTTTTCAAACTATGTTTGAAAAGATCTCTGTGTCATTGTACTGCCAAACCCTCCTAGTGAAAATGCAGCTTAAAAAGTATTTTTACAAGTATCACTCATTCTAGTTACCTGACCAGAGTAAGCTATACTACAAAAAACAGATTTTAAGGGTCAACTTAGTCTAAGATTAATGGAGGTGAACTGAAAAGTGTAGCTAACAAAAATCAGAGCTATTGTAGTTCTTTTGAAGTATATAATTTCTAGAGGGCATTGATCCTTTGCTCTAATGTATCATGATGCCTGTCAACAACACATTTCAGAAGCTTTGACTAACTGAATTCCTTACTACGTGCAGGTGTTAAACCGCCTGACTTTTGCATCTACACTTTCCCATCTGAGACGCCTGAATTCTCCAATTGGTAGAGATGGTAAACTGGCAAAGCCCAGACAGCTGCACAATACACTGTGGGGAATGGTTTGCCCTGCGGAGACTCCAGAGGTAATGAAAGTAATATTTATGTCAGTACTTACTCAGGCCTAACTGCTTTTATCCGCTAGTCATTTTATACCTATGGCACTTGTAATTATCACTTGCACTTTTTTTGAAGTGCTGACATGAATATTTAGCTTTATAGTTGACTCTGTAATTGAATAGTAGAAATTAATAAGTAAATAGCACATTTTGTGTCTAGTTCCTTCAGGATTCGAAGTTTAAGTTCTCAGATCTTCTTGGGAGAATCTCTTGATTTGGAAATGCAAGTTAACTTTGTGTTTCCATCTAGGGTCATGCAGTAGGACTTGTGAAGAACTTAGCCCTGATGGCTTACATTTCTGTGGGGTCCCAGCCATCCCCAATTTTGGAATTCTTGGAAGAGTGGAGCATGGAAAACCTGGAAGAAATCTCTCCAGCAGCAATAGCTGAGTATGTGCAAATGAAACTGTTTAAACAGACTTAAGCTTTTTATCCTGCACAACTCTTCAAGGGTTTGATTTTTTGGTGGTGATTATTTTATATTTTTTTTCCCCTCCCCTCTTTCTAGTGCTACCAAGATCTTTGTCAATGGCTGCTGGGTAGGAATACACAAAGATCCAGAGCAGCTCATGAATACCCTAAGGAAGCTCCGTCGTCAGATGGACATCATTGTATCAGAGGTATAAACTTTTAGAGTTTTGTGTGTCTTTTTAGATGAGGGAGGATAATGCCCTTATACTACTTTGCAAGCTCCAAATAGCATAATTTGCAAGTCTCTTTCTGAACATACTTCATATTGCTTGGGGTTTTTTTTTGTTGTTTGGGGAATTTGGGGGGGGGGGGTTGGTGCTTTTGGGGTTTTTTGTTTGATGTTGTGTTTGGTTGTGGGGGTTTTGTGGTTTGGTTTGGTTTTGGGTGTGTGTGTGTGGTGTTTTTTTGTTTTGTTCTTTTTTTTAAAGAGGATCCAGTTGAAAAAACAGTTGAAAATAGTCTCTTGTTTGTAGAAGTGTTGATGTTTGTTCTGTGCTGCTGATAGCACCTGTAAGGCCTTTGCTTTAAGGAACTTTGTTATCCTATTTTGTGTTCCATAGTTTTGGTTCCAGGCTGAGACTTTGTACTCATGGGGTGCTGCTTTCTTGTACAGGTCTCGATGATTAGGGATATTCGTGAGCGAGAAATCCGCATCTATACTGATGCAGGCAGAATTTGTCGACCCCTTTTAATTGTGGAAAAACAGAAGTTGCTGTTGAAGAAAAGGCATATTGACCAACTGAAGGAACGAGAGTATAACAATTACAGGTGAGAGATGTTCCTGAAATTCAACTGAGTGTCTAATTTTCCATCTTGGAGGCTGCAAGTTCCCCCAGATCGGAAAGAGAAATATTTAAAGCTTTGTGCAACACAAAGATACTTTCTCTGCCTGGTAGCTTACTTAATTTTTTTAATTGCACTGAGGCAGTGGTAGTAATAATAAGCCAGGGAAGTCCTTGTTCTTGTTACGGCTGAAGACACCCATTTTATGCGTTAGTTGAGTATTTCAGACATTGGTTATTCAGTTGGCAGGATCTCGTGGCCAGTGGTGTAGTAGAGTACATTGACACACTGGAAGAAGAGACTGTGATGCTGGCAATGACTCCAGACGATTTGCAAGAGAAAGGCGTGGCGTATTGTTCAACATACACGCACTGTGAGATTCACCCATCTATGATCCTGGGAGTATGTGCGTCTATTATCCCTTTCCCTGATCACAACCAGGTCAGTGAATCGCTTCTGACATCCTGCTTTTGAAGTTGATAGAAAACCCACAGGTGTATGTGTAATGAGCTTTATGGACATATGTACTGCTCTTCCCTTGTCTGTCTAGTCTCCCAGGAACACCTACCAGTCTGCTATGGGTAAGCAGGCTATGGGAGTTTACATTACAAACTTTCATGTTCGTATGGATACGCTGGCACATGTGTTGTATTATCCTCAGAAGCCCCTCGTAACAACACGCTCCATGGAGTACTTGCGATTTAGAGAGTTACCAGCAGGTACGTTGTCAGTTAATGTTTATTAAACAAAAATACTACTGTTTTGTTTAAACTGTATCACAAATGTTGTGTGTAGAATACCCAAATATTTAGCGAATGTATGTAACTTAAAAATTAATTAATTATAGGTTAAATGTTAACTTATAGCTGGAAAACTAGGCTGCAAAAAATACCTTGCTAGTGTTGCAGCTGGAACTACTTTATCCATATAGGCTGCTAAAATCTTAACTAGAAAAATGGATTTTCTGTATTGGTATTTGCTAGCTTCTTCACAAGGGGTCACCCCTGACGCTCTTTTCTACCCAAAGCTTCATTTGCTCATACTACGTGATTTTTGTGTGTGGGACATGGAGATTTTATCTCAGAAAGGGTAGAACAGCTTCGCTGTAGAGAATACAGCTTATTTTGAGTTACAGGTAATACCTCTCTGGTATGTGTGCATCCTCTCAAAGTACTTGCTCTGCCTCTTATAGGTATCAACTCGATTGTAGCCATTGCATCATACACAGGCTATAACCAGGAAGACTCTGTCATCATGAACCGTTCTGCTGTTGACAGAGGCTTTTTCAGGTAAGAGTGTGTAAATTTTTTTAACTGCTTGGAAGGAAAAAAAATTAAAGTATACTGAGTTGTCCGGAGGCTCAACAAAAGTTCATCTTACACTAGAAGACACCATTCTCCAAATCTTTCCAACCTGAGTAGTTTGGGGTTTTTTTGTTTTTTTTTTTAATGGGGGTGGAGGTAGCAGCACAATGAAAATGGTGAATGTGAATCTTAGCAAAACACAGTGAGGATGGTTCATCGTTTGTGTAACCTGACTTCCCACTCTCTTCCCAACTGTTCCATTTTGGTTTTTAGTATGTTTACTGTTCTTTGTACAATGGTTAAATGAAAAAATATTTGGACTCTTTGCTGTTATATTTTCATATAACTCTTGCCACTTATATGAACTTCTTAGGGGCAATATTGCAGCTTTGTAATATAGTCTTGTCTTCAGTAGCATGACAGTTGCTACCAGTGAGGAGTGGCAAGTTCCTCTACTTAGTAGGAATTGCTATTAGGACAACTGGCAACTGATGTGACTTTGTGCGTTACAGTTTTTAGATGGCTGTGATTAGTTGTATAGCTGGTCAATGGGTTTCTAGTTATGTTCACTTTCTTTTGTCCAAGTTGAGCCCAAGAAGTGTCTTCTTGGTATCTTGGATCTACTGCCTTCCAATGTAGAATGAGACTATTAGACTTCTATGGCTCAAGTGAAGCTTTTATAGAACCTCCTGCATGCATGGGAGTAATTAAATGTGGATAATATTTATCTGAAAGGCTGTGGCTTTGGTGTACTGGCAACTGAGGCAGAAAACAAAAACCCTTACAAGCCCCAGAAAGATGCCTGTATAAATTGAAAGTTTTCTACAGCAGCTCAGTTATACTGAGTGTGGCACTGCAAGGTAGCAGTAGAAGTCTAAAAATGCTTGCAAAATGGCAGGAATAAGGAGAAAAGTAGTATGAAACGATATGATGAAGATGTGAATAATCTTCAGGAATAATAACTACTTTTGAGATGTGAAGTAGATCCAAAGGTCTTGTCTCTATAATTATCTATAGGTACATTGGGAGTGTCTGAAAAGTGACCATCAAAAATGCCATCTGAAACTGTTTTTTGTTTGTTTGGTGGGGTGTTTTTTGGTGTTGTGTTTTTTGTTGTTGTTGTTTTCCCCTCCTCAGTGATGTTCAGATTAGCAAGACTTTAGAGGAGAGGTTGTGTAGCACATGAACATTATTTGTTTTGGTCATCATTAGTAACAGTAGCCATAACATGTGATAAAAGGGTGATTGTAGTGAAATTGAGATGTACAGATGAGGAAAAACAATGTTGGTTTCACTGGAGAAAGCTTTATAACTTTGTTTCAGATCTGTGTTCTATCGCTCGTACAAAGAGCAAGAGTCTAAAAAAGGGTATGACCAAGAGGAAGTTTTTGAAAAGCCTACACGTGAAACTTGCCAAGGTAAGATATGGGAGTGTATGAAGACTGAGTTTTTAAATTAAGTATTTGTGGGCAAGGTTGTTAATGTTATTGAACTGATTCAGTCTCTATTTTGGGACATACAAAATAGTAGAAATATCTGGATTAATAGCAAAATACATCAGTTGAGATATTTGCATAAAACTATCTTTAGACATTTTAGCAGTAGTCTGAAGTTGCAAGCAGACTTGTTGAATTTCTACAGAACGTCAATATGTTGAAAAGTCAATCTGTTGAAAAATTTGGGAGTCTACTTTTTTCCCTTTTTTTTTTCCAAGGTATGAGACATGCAATCTATGACAAACTTGATGATGATGGTTTGATAGCACCTGGGGTACGTGTGTCTGGGGATGATGTCATCATTGGCAAAACAGTAACGCTGCCAGAAAATGAAGACGAACTGGAAAGCACTAACAGACGTTTCACAAAGAGAGACTGTAGCACTTTTCTGCGAACTAGTGAGACTGGTATTGTAGATCAGGTCATGGTAACCCTTAATCAGGAAGGATACAAGTTCTGCAAGATTAGGGTGAGCACTGATATGTGTGCTTTCTACTTTTAATAATTTTTGTTCTGTATTTACATTACCAATTGAATGTTTTCCTATGGCTTACAGGTACGCTCTGTAAGAATCCCACAAATTGGAGATAAATTTGCCAGCAGACATGGTCAGAAAGGAACCTGTGGTATCCAGTACAGGCAAGAGGTAGTGATTTTTTTTTTTTTCCCTTTTTAACATTTTATCTTCAATCTTCTTAGCATTGGAACTGCCTTAAGTGAGTTGTCTGTGGAATATCTACTCAGGTGCAATATATTGATTTAAATTTAGCTAAAATGTGTTTAGAAATGGACGCAGCTGCTTCTTACATGGTACTTCAGTGCCTTTTAAATGCTTTAAAAGATGCCATTTGAATCCACGCAACTGCTTTTCTTAAAGCTGATATTCTGGGAAGTACTGACTGTCTGTTTCCCTGCTCTAGGATATGCCCTTTACCTGTGAAGGCATCACACCTGATATAATTATCAACCCCCATGCTATCCCTTCCCGCATGACCATTGGTCACTTGATTGAGTGTCTTCAGGGGAAGGTAAAAAAAAAAAATAAATAAAAATCTTTTATGCAGTATGTCCGAGCAATATGAATTAAAATGGGGGGTTTTAGGGGAGTTTTTTGTTTGTTTGTTTTAAGGTACTACTTCTGGTAGATGTTAAGCCACTAAAAAATAAGGATTGTTCTCCAGTTACTTAGTAGTTAAAGCAGGTTCCTTGGGGAAGACCTACGGTCCTGTAAATTTTGTCCAGCAAGTCGACTACAGCATTCTCTCTCACCTGTTCCAAACATTTCCTGTGACCTAGAAAAAGGAGTAGCAAAATTGTCAATACTGTGTATTTTAAAAATTAAATCTCAGTATAGATTGTGTAGCTGGCTGATAAGCAGAGCAAGATGTCTTGCGCACGGAATCTCAAGTTCTGGCATTAAAGCTATTTCAAACAGCTTAATGTTTTCTTACCAGTCCTTCAGAAATCTGACAAGCTTTTGCACATCTCTTCTCTGTAGGTGTCCGCAAACAAGGGAGAAATTGGTGATGCTACACCGTTTAATGATGCTGTCAATGTGCAGAAGATTTCCAATCTTTTATCAGATTATGGCTATCATCTAAGAGGAAATGAGGTATGATCAAAATACCAATTCCCTATAATTTTTTTTAATATACGTTTGATGGATAATAAGGCTTATGATTCAGTGATTGCATTGACTACTTCAGGTCCTCTACAATGGCTTCACTGGTCGAAAAATCACATCACAGATCTTCATTGGTCCTACGTATTACCAGCGGTTGAAGCACATGGTAGATGACAAAATCCATTCTCGTGCAAGAGGGCCAATCCAGATACTTAACAGACAGCCCATGGAAGGTAGATCTCGGTAAGGATGTTTATTAGTTTCTATGCAGTGTTTTGGTTTTCTTTGAAGTTTTTAGCCCTAAAAATTAGCTGCCTCAACTTTGCTGCTAGAATTTTATTAGCCTACCCCAGATAGCCATCCATTTTCATGTGTTTGGCTTAAGATGATGTATTGGGTGCAGGTGTCAAGGTTTTAGTAGCAGGAGGTACTGCTGGGGTGGCATCTCTGAGAAAGGACCAGGCCTTGCCCTGTGCTGGACATGGCCACTTACAGCTGGCTCAAACAGACCTGCTGCTGGCCAAAGCTGAGCCCATCAGTGATGCTGGTAGCACCTCTGTGGTAACACGTTTAAGAAAGGGGAAAAAAATACTGCGCGGCAGCTGTGAGAGAGGAGTGAGAAAATGCGAAAGGAACAGCCCTGCAGATGCCCAGGACAGAGAAGGAGGAGGGGAGGAGGTGCTCCAGGTGCCAGAGCAGAGATGTCCACGAAGATCATGGTGAGGCAGGCTGTTCCCCTGCATGGCAGACCACGGTGGAGCAGATACCCACGCTGCAGTCTGTGGAAAGCCCATGCCAGAGCAGGCTCCTGGCAGGAGCTGCGATCTGTAGGGGACCCATCTGTTCCTGGAGGATTGTACTGGGTGGGAAGGGCCCATGCCAGAGCAGTTTGTGAAGGACTATCCCATGGGAGGGACCCCATGCTGGAGCAGGGGGAAAAGTGTGAGGAGGAAGGAGTGGCAGACAGGAACTGTTATGCACTGTGAACCCCATTCCCCCTGTGACAGTGGGGAGGGGAGGAAGGAGTTGGGAATGAAGGAGCAAAGTTGAGCCTGGGAAGAAGGTAGGGGAAAAGATGTTTTTAGTTTTGTCTTTGTTTCTCACCATTGTGCTCCGTTTTTAATGGGTGATAAATTAAACTACTTTTCCCATGCTGAGTTTGTTTTGCCTGTGGTGGTAATTGGTAAGTGATCTCCCTGTTTTTACCTCAGCCCTTGAGCTTTTCCATCTTACCTTCTCCTCCTGTCCTGTCGACATGGGGGAGTGAGAGAGCTGCTTGGTGGGAATCTGGCAGCCACCCAAGGTTAAACGCACCACAGATAAGCAGAGAATTATTTAATTGTTCACCTAATTTTGCTGTACGGTTGTGCTGTGGCTGTTAGATGTCTGACATTTGCTTTGAAATGCTCAGCAGCAATTACAAATTACCGTGTTTGCATTCTCCTTAACTGTTTTATTCTAAGGTGTTAGAGGAAAATTAATGCACAGCTTTACTCCTGCCTTGTAATACTGCTATTGTGTTTCTGCTAACTTACTTGTTCCACCAACAAGAATTGATGTGTTTTGCCAATGAAGTCAGAAGTTGAGGAATTTTTTTTTTTTTCCCCCCTCAGTGATGGTGGCCTTCGTTTCGGAGAAATGGAACGAGACTGCCAGATTGCTCACGGAGCAGCCCAGTTCTTGAGAGAAAGATTGTTTGAAGCTTCAGACCCATATCAGGTCCATGTCTGTAACCTCTGTGGAATCATGGCGATTGCAAACACAAGGACTCACACCTATGAATGCAGGGGATGCCGTAATAAAACTCAGGTATGTGTGGTTCTCATCAGCTGGTGTTTCTCTTTGTGGGTAAGAGGAAATGCCACTCGGGTGAACAGGAGGATAGGGAAGTAAATATTTAAAGAAGCACCAGAGCAATTGCTGTTTCAGTTTTGTAACTCTTCAAAATATTTATAGTGTCCTAGTTAATTTGCATGTTTCCTTATTAATTTTATAGTGTTGGCTTGTTACTTGGCAGGAAATGCTGTTCAAGTATTTTGCAGCGCAGTTTTCAGAGACTTAAAAAGTAAACATTTGAGAGCTTATTTTTAGAAGTAAAACTCAGAATCACAGGAATTTAGAGCCATCGCCCTTGTGACTGTCCCCATGAAGATACTCATGCTTGCAGAGCTGGGTCCCCATGGGAGGTCTTTTGTGTTGCACTTTAATAATAAAAAAAAAAAAAAGCTCAGTAGTGTGTGCTTGGTTACAGAGCTATGTCAAGGGAGAGTAGCAGCAGAAATAAAAAGGGTTGCCTTAAACAGGCTTGTTCTTGTGCTAGGGACTGGCTGCTGCTGATTGTGGCATTGGGGTTACTGAAGACATGTGTGTTGGAAATCTTAACTGTATTTACTGAACATCAGGCACGCTTTGCTATGCCCATGTTCCCTTGTTAAATGGCTCTTATTTAAGATCGGATCCCTTGGCTGCAGGTTTTATGATTAAAAATGTGTTCTGGATAGCTGCTGTGTAGCCTCTACAGACAGCCTCAGCTTCCCTCTTGCTTTGTTACTGTCTGTGAGCCATTCTTGTTAAATGCTTTCATGCATAACTGCAGATTCACTTTTGAGCCAAAAACTTGACAAAGATGTTTGTGTAGAGGGTGGTGGAAGTTGATGCTTTAGGAGTGCTTCTCACAAGCCTTCTGAAATCTCTTTCCAGATATCTTTGGTTCGGATGCCCTATGCCTGCAAACTCCTCTTCCAAGAACTGATGTCTATGAGTATTGCACCTCGTATGATGAGTGTTTAGCCTTTAAAAGGGTTTGTTGGGGTTTGTTTTTTTTTTAAATGAGGAGACTGAAGTACTCAGGTTTTGTTTCACTTTGTGTAGGTTGCATTTAAAATAGTTTTACTCCTGCTATGTGCTGTTCAAAAGTATGTTTATTTCCTGTAAATAGAATTAAAATTTGTAATTAAGCTTGTGAATCTCTTTATTTGTGTATCTGTGAAAGAAGTGTGCAAGCAAATTGGTAATCAAAGAATAAGGGAGTTAAGAGGGAACAATTAGTGAGCTAGAAAAAGCCAGAGGTTGCAGCTTTCCAAAATACTAATTTAAAACTGTGCGTTAAGTGAAAGTCCTCATGTCACAGCTCTGCACCATCATCTGTGGAAAAACAGAAACATGTTACACTCTGTACCGTTCCAAGGGGTAATATCACAACTTGGGCAGCAGTGCAGCAAGTGAGGTAGCTGGTGGCTTAGCTGAGGGCAAGACCTGACAACTCAGTCCTGACCCTCTCCTTCCTTCTTTCCTTCCGTCCTTCCCTGCAGAAGCAGGGGGATGGTATTTTTCTGTGCTGAGATCACCTGGACACGGGACACAGGCTCCCTAACTGCGTAGTGTGTAGCTATGATGTCTGACAGTTTGTTCCATTAATGTTACCAATTTCCTTTAAGTAATTCTGGAGTGCCAGCTTACTGCTAGGCTACAGCATGCTTACTTGAGAACTTTTCTACAGCTGAAAAAAGCCAGCTGTGATGTGTAGTGTGCGTGTAAGAAATAAACTATGAGGCAACGTATGTGGCACTACAACCTTGCTGTAGAGTTACTCTGAGAGACAGGGGGGTGAACAGCTTCTGTTCTGGGGTGTAATTGTGCTGCTCATGCCACAACTCAGTAAAACTCACTTTCATTCACATCCATAAAAAAGATATTTGAAAAGGGATTTAGAGACTAGCCAAACCCTTTAGCAAAGTTCCTAGGCGTGATACTGGGATTCATTTTATGCCGTTATTTTAATGCCAGGTGCTGTTAATATTCTCGTAAAGGAAGTCTTTCAGCTATTCAGGGATGTAAGGATACAGAAAGTCAAGGCTACATCATTCAGACAAAGCTACTGGGATCAAAACTAAGGATTATGTCGAGAAGCGGGTTTGGTCTAGCTCAATGGTTTGGTTCCCAGTGCCTCTACCTCTAGCACAGTTACAGTTCCAGCTCTCCGGCTTTATTCCAAAGCACGTGTGGCCTTGGTACTAAGCCATCCTCTTTGGAGCTGGAATGAGGGTGGTTGGTTTGCCATCAGCTTTGCGCACGGCCTGGCCCAGAGGACCTGGGTTTGAAAACTGGCTGAGTGCTGGAGGGTAAAGGCTTCAGGTCCTGCCTAAAGGCCTGCTGTGGTGTATCTGTCCCCTCCAGCATGCAGAGAGAATGGCAGGGACTAGGATGTTTGCGGGATGGGGAAGGATAAGGAGGTGCAGGGACCTGGCAGGAATTTAAATGCCTGAAGTTCCCCCTCTGTCTTGGGGCTGGTTGTGCCAATACTGCTCCCAGGAGTGATGGGCAGGTTTGGAAGTGTCCTGAGAACACTGAAAGGAGGACACAAGTTTAGGGCTGGAAAACCACTGAAAGCTGCTTTGTAAAAAAATCCCAAAAGGTGTTTTTAATTTGGTATCTTAATCTCCAGTACTTTACAGCATTTGGGGGGTGTTATTTAACCATCCCTTGAGAACTCCAGGAGCTGAGATTTGCTGGGAATGTTTTGCCAAACCCAGTAAAAGCTGCATGTTAAACTGGTATTTCTAATGTGCGTTCTTTTTCCCCAGAAAGCATTAAACAGAGGTGGTCCTTCTTTATCAAATAACCAAGTAAACTGTTAGGGAAAAGAGCTGCTGAGCGTTCAACCACACTATTTACCTTTGGTCAGGGCTATTTCATGCAGAGTTTCCACAACGTGGATTTTTGCAGAAGCTGTTGCCTCTCCTTTGGCATTTGATGCATGACACTCATATTCTCCAGCATCCTCCTTGCTCAGAGGAGAGATCTAGAGGAAGAAACACACACACCCCCCATCCCCCAGTAAGTATCCTGTGCATAGGTAACAGTGATTCTGTTTTAAGGTCTTTTTATGTAACTTGTCAATTGCTTGAGACACAATGAGATGAACAGAGCGCATGAAGTAGCAGTTAACCCCTAGGGACCACGCTGACTGCATGATTTCTTCTCTCTGCTCTAAACAGGCTGGCTCGGATTGCAGTGGCTCTCTCCAGTAAGGCTTGGGACAAGCACCCACTCCTGTGGATCAGCCTAGCGTTCTCCCTCCCTGCCAGGTCAGATCACATGTGCTGTAATGCTCCCTCCTTTTCTTTTATTGTTTGCTTAGTCTGGCAATGTGTCAGACCACTGTGTGCTCGGCAAGGGGAAGGAGGCAGGAAGAAGAAGCCTTCCTACGGCACGCTGCATCCAGTCAGGCAGTGCAGCAAAATCATCAGCTCAAACCTGTCCCTCTTCTCATTTCCACCTCTGCTTTTGCAAGTGGTGTGGGAACCAACACCCTGCTGCCAGCTCCTCTGATGCTGGGAGCCATCAATTCCTTTACTGGGATGTGCAGCAGCTCCGCCTGGCCACCCCACTGCTTCCTTCTGACGCGTGGAGATCCCCGATTAGCCTGTGGGTACTCCTGTAGCTCAAGAGGTCTGCTGAGTGAGAGCTGGTGGCTTCTGCACTGTGCTATTCTCAGGCAGGTGATGTGCTTCACTGAGGAAAGGACAGCTCTGCCAGATCTGTAAGGGCTCCGCAGCTGTGGGTCTGTCTTAGGGATGCCTTGCCTCTGTACTGATTCCTTCCTAGATGTGGAGAGGGTCTCCTCCCCACTAATGGCAGCAGGAAAGTAATGACAGACAGAAAGATCTTTTATTTAAGTCTCGCCTTCTCTGATTGTAGAATGCATGCTACACAGAGGTGAAAAACTGCAATGAATGAGACCAGAGCCAGCAGCCACCCTTACCCTTCATGCCTAATTCACACAGGTTGTTTTCCTCTGAATGCCCTGTCTGTTCCCATGTGTCTTCTGCGCTGTTCTTTGCTCCTAAGTTGTTTGCAAACTGCACTGTACTGCTTGCACAGCTCTGTGCAGACACAAAGTACTTACGAGCACCCAGCCAGTCACTTCGTGTTTCTCAGGCCCCCCTCGGGTCTGGATAGCCAAGTTTTCCCGGTCCCCAGGCAGAAGCTCCATCCTCTGGACACCATACTGTCCCTGAATTATCTAAACAGAAGGGCAGAGAAGTGTGAGAACTTTGGGACTTATTTATGCTAGAACTGTTAGGACCATACCGGCACACAGACAAGACCAACATTAGTTTTACATGACTGCCTTTTGTGCAGGAGCAGCAGTTTTTCTAGTGCCAGCATTTCACCTCACCCTCCGTGTACTGCAGCCCCGCTACCCCAATGCCTCGGCGTTCTCCTTGCCTCAGAGCAGCACAGCTTCCCGGTGCGGACACTGCTGGGCAGTGGGCTGTGCAAACATGCCCTGAACTGACGGGCTCACAGAATTCGTGTGCATGTTCCCAAAGGTGTGTTTAGCCCATCAAATGATGCCTGCGCTGAACACAGAGGCTTCACTTGCCTGTGGCTGCTGGTAGCCATACATCAATCCAGCTCAGCTGGCTTGGGAATGGGGGGACAGCAGGAGCTGACTGTTGTCCTTGTTTGGAGAGGCTGCCCTGCAATTTTCCTGATGATCAGGGTTTTTAGCATGGCAGCAGCAGAGAACGGAGCATCTGAATGCTGCTCCTGGCAGGGGCTCTCCCTGCAATGAGCTATCCCCTTCCCAGTAGCCCAGGGACAGCCCTGTAGGGTTCTGCTGCAGCAAACCAGGCAGTCCCTCCTGCTGGGCACAGCACTGATGAGAGAGCAGCAGCGCAGCCATTCTGCAGTGCTGCGTATCCAAGCCCAGAGCACAGCATGGTATAAGTGGTGCTCAGCCCTTGTTATCACCAGGTCAAGCAGGCTCTCGGCCATGAGGAAGAGGCACAAAAAGCAGAGCAGCACCAACAGTCAGTGTAAACACAGTGTCTGCTTGTAAACAAGCAGAAAATGCTGTCTGGGTCAATGTGCCTACATTGCATGCTCACCCGACAGTCTGCTCAGGGACCCGGGTGAATAGAGTTTGCTGTCTCAGAACAGAGCAATCGCTGGGCCAATCTAGGTTTTTTTTCTCCGTAGTATTCTTAATGTAGTACTGTTTAAATTTAAGACCACTCCCAAGTGTCCACAAACCTGCGGCATTTGAAGAGGCTACAGGGGCCGTGTGGTGGCTCTCAGCCCTACGGCTGGGATCCTCTCTGCTCAAGACTGGCCCCTGCCCTAAGCCAGGTGTTAACCAGCACGCTGCCAAAATCAGCACGCTGCCGGCTAACGGAGGCAACTGCCCTACGCGGTTCCTGTGCCTGACGTGGGCGAGCCGTGTCCAGCCACCTGTGGGTCACTGCTGCCAGCAGGGTGACAGCAGGTCACGGGACATTCCCTGTATGTGCTGAGCACCGGGCACTACCGAGAGAACCACAAGTTCTGTTCTGCCTTGGGATCAACAAGAGTTTAGAAAAAGATTAGGCAAAGCCAGATGTTTTGGGGTGGTGGGGTGGTGGACAGAACAGCACAGGCAGGAGAACTCATCAGAGATGTGTGTTTCTAAGGAGGGTTCTGCTACGGCCTTTATGCTTAGCAGGTGGTTTCAGCTGCCTCGGGTTTGCTGCACTCTTGAGAGCTCCTACAGGGCCCTTACCTTGTTCCAGGTGAGGACAGGGGTGGGGATGCCGATGACTTCACAGCTCAGGTAGATCTGTGCTCCTGTCACATTCCAGATGTCCTTAGGAGGGGTCACGATGGAGGGTCCTGCACAAAAAAGGGAGAAATGCTTTTAAGCACCAGATGACTGCAAGTCTATCTCCTTGCTGGCCGTTTAAGTGGGGCCAGTCACTTCTGACGGGTTTTGAGGCTAAGGTGAAGGCAGCCCCTGCTTGGAGCAAAGCTTGCTGGACTGATCCCACATCACAGCACTTCCCTCTCCAAAGCTACACATGCACCCGATCTTAAGCTGTTCAGGCTGATGGGCACTTGCCCCAAATGGAAACTCAGGTGTTGAGCAGTTCAGGTGATCAGCCCATCTTCCTACAAGACTGAGGTCAGAGGTAAGGTAGTGTTTGTATTCTGTTATCTCAGGGGCTGAGCAGGACTTTACAAACTGCTGTCTTTGCTCACCAGGTAGCCACCAAGTGCATCGCTGACACTCAGCTGGCATGGAGGAGAGGACCCCCTCAACCCCAGGAGACAGGGTGGGTCCCACTCGCTCTCCCATCCCACGGAGAGCTTGGCCAGCTTGGCAGCATCCTTTTTCCCAGCATGATTTTAATCTGCAGCAAAGCCCGTGGCGGCTGGCTAGCAGTGTTATGCTGTTCTGTTTTACCTGTGTGCAACGTCCAGCTACAGGAGGCTGGCTGGAGGTGGCAGAGCTCTCCTTGGGAGGGGACCCGGGAAGGGACCAGGTGAATGCAGAGCTCCATTTTCCCCAAAGAGCTCCAATCCCTGGTTAAACTGGGAGTTGTTTCCAAAGCCAGAAGGGAACAGAGCTCTTTTGCAGATCTGGCTGGAGATGTTTACCCCTCAGGCTGGGAAACGTTGGAGACATAACCCCTATCCCAGGAAGGGAAGAATGGCCTTTTATGTTCGATCCCTCTTCAGTGGGACTGTTTTGCAAAATGCAGCTATTAATTCCCCACAAAAGGAAGTGCAGACCAAGGGAGCACATAGTGTTTATTTCCACTTATTGATAGCTTGAAGGACACGGCAGATTTTCCCCTTCTGCTCTGAAGATGCAGGCAGTAACAGGAAACTGAAGCTCCCATTAGGCTCCACCAGGCGAAGGCATTTCCTACGCGAACAAGTACTCCAGAGCCAGCCTGACTGAAGCCCCTGGGCACGCTGGCTCACAGACCACAGCTCATTCCCAGCCCCATAAAAGAGGGGCAGATTTGGGTCCTGATGCTCCTTCTGGGGCCCTGAACGTGCGCTACTCTGCCCTGCAGCCCGCTTGCAGGAACCAGGAGCGGGTTTCAGGGGGCATCTCGCTGCACCAACATCTCCCAGCAGAAAGCTGGAGTCTTTTTTTTCCTCCTCGGGAACTGGGGGCAGATCCACACTGGTATCACCGGCCAGAGGACATCAGCCATCCCTCTGTCTTAGCACAAGGGATGCCGAGGTGGGTCCCCACACCCGAGCAGCTGGTGTGATCCCAGAGAAGAGTTTGCTCTTCTCTCCTGGGACTTCCCTGTCCAGGAATGACTGTACGCGGCCGGTTGGTGGGAAGCTGCTAAGAGACATGGGGTGGCTGCCATCCAAAGTCTCTGTTACAGAGGTATCCCAGTCCTGGTTTTAACAGGAGGTAGCTACGTAGAGGCAGGAAAGTTTTATGCATAGCCCTGGGCGAAGGTTAAAGCCACACCTAATGCATGGGCTGGTTTCCTGGCAGGCATTGCAACCCAGGTGCTCCTCATCTGCACAGAACTGCATCTCACAGCTGAGAAAAGGATTTAAGCAGCATTTCATTGCATGGCTTACCCTCTTGCTGGTTGTGCTGCTGTGTGAACTGACTCCTGTGCACTGGCCAGGAGAGGGATTTGCCAGTCACAGCACCCTCTCCCATATGGAAGGGTGCTGGAGTTATCCTTGCTCCAGGTGGCCCTGAGCAGATCCAGACCTCCCAGCAACACCGAGTACCACCCTGGCATAGTACAGTGGAGTGATCCTTGGGGCCAGCACCCCCAGTGTGCTCCTGCCCGAAGCACTGCCTGGCCCCTGCACAGCAGCAGGGCCGTGGCCAGCCCAGGGATTGCCATTGCCACGATGGGGCCACCTCAGGTCATGCACTCTGCTCCCCTTTCCCAGCACAGCCGTTTCCTGTGCAGCCCTGCTGTTCTTTTTCTGGTTTCCCTGGAACAATAGGGACAATAGGGCGCTTGGCAGCTCCGGTGGGACCCGGATGTCCCCGGCTAGCTTAGCTCACCCTGTGTTCTGCAAGGACCTCCAGCAGATGTGCACCCCACACAGCCTCCTGCTGCCGCTGCCACCTTCTGCTCCAGCCATGCAAAACCCTCCACGTGCAAGGTGCCCTCCTAGGGCAGAGCTTGGGGCCTGGCCCTGAGAGGGAGGGCTACATTTGCCCCCGTATGACACTGTTCCCTCTATCTCTGGTCGCTGGGGTTCTCCAAGAGGCAGGAGATACGCAGCTGCCCCCAAATGACCACCATCTCCCACCGCAGAAAAGGAGAGATCCTGATTCTCACGTTAAAAGCCAGGTGGATTTTAAGGCTCTTCTGGGATCTGGCTCAGTTATTGCTTGTTGGGAGCTGGCAGCGTTCAACACACCACTAAATCCACTGCCTGAAGTGTTTCAGTATTGGCTGCCACTGAGTTTCCTCCTGGGTCAAGGGCCTGGACACCCTCTGCCCATGGATGTTTGCTTGCCCTGCCAGGAGCAGGTCACACCAGGATTCTTGTGCAGCAACCACTGGCAGGGGACAAGAGAGAGGGAATTTTGACCCGCCTCCTGGGCGAGCAGAAATTGTTTCTCTTCCCTGGAAAGGGGAAATTCCCTGCACAGCTTCACAGCGAAGCTCCGGCTGGCACAGCACAGCAGCCACAGCACAGTGAGAGCCCGGCCATCGCGAGGCAGCCCCGAGCTCGAGATGTACATCCTGATCTAACCAGGGGGAACGTGGGACCCTGCCTTTGGCTGCAAAATGAACTGGAAGCATGCACAGGCTTCCGCCTCTAACCAGCACAGCCCCGAGGCCGGGAGGGAATACACATCCTGAGAGATGCAACAGTGTCATGGGAAGAGTCAGTGTGGTCTCTCGGGATATTTGACTTAAATCCAGACAGCCAAAATGCTAGAGCTGGGCTTCTTCCTCCACTAAAAATAAATGAGAAAGGCCAAGAAGTCAGCAGATTTAAAAGTCAAATCACGACAAGCCACAGCAGTAGTTAGACTCCCACCACAGCGAGCTGACACCCCAGTGCGTGGCAGCCATCCTGCTTACTGCCTGTTCTGGCCCCATGTTTTGGTCCCACTCGTGCTATCTCCCACAGTCCCCCGAAGCAGCCAGAGGTGGACAGGGGACACAGCAACCTGCCACAGAGAGGCAGGGGATGCCAGAGCCTTGCAAGGGACGTCAGAGGATGTGAGGACATTCCCTCCTGCAAGTCACCCCTCTTTGTGCCGGGGGTCCTTGTGAAGGGAACGAGGCCGCCATGTGCGCAGCAGGACTGGAAACAAGCCCACCTTGTGCAGAGCAGATGACTTGATTCCTGCCAGCAAGGAGCCCACTGGCCCTCATCCTACAGCCTGCATCTTAGCAGCCTTGCTGCTCCGCCTGTGGCACTGCCCACAAAGGGGAACGTTTCTCCATCCGCATCCTTCGGGCTGGGAACTTGCGGGTTCCACCTGCTGATGGAAATGGTCACTACCACCACCACGGCTGAGCGGTCTCTGCTCCCCATCAGGGACTGGGCCAGGCACAGCGTGGATGTGCCGGATGCTCCCGGCGCAGTGTGGATGTACAGGACACTCCCCGACGGTACTTGCCCCGACTGCGCAGGATCCTGCTCCTCAGCCAAGAGGACAGCCCAGGCTGTTGATGGAGATCAGCTGCTCTCTGCAGGCACTTCAGGCATTTCCTCCCCGCTCTGCCCATTGTTCCTAAGACAAATAACTCTCCCTGGCCCGGGAAGGGGCTTATGTACAGAGCCAGCGCGCTCATTCACCCCAGGAGAGGAGCCTGAAAGCGCAGGGATTGTTTTTTCTGCAGATGACAGGGAGCTGACAGCCTGCATTATGTCAAAAGCGGCAGCCAGATAGGAGTTCCCACTGCTCTTATGCAGTTGCTTTTCTGCCACAGCAGCACGCGGCAGCGCCTGCGCTTTCCTCGGACGAGGCGATCATTTGGCATCTGCTCCCGACACCCCTCCCGCGCCAGGCACCTCTTCTCCGCTCAGCCACAGCCAGCAGAGATCTGGCATCTCCCAGCTCAGGGTTAGCTGGCCCTGGCTGGTCTTCCTTTGGTGTCCACGCACACACACAAATATATCACCCCCCAGGCAAGCAGAGCGGTAACTTCTTTGCTAAAATTGAGGGGGCTGCTGAAGGCAAAAATAAGCTCGACATTGAGCACTGGTGCTTGGGCGGGAAGCCCCAACCATGACCACACAAATCTGTGTACGCCAGCCTGGTTCCCAGCCAGCCCTCCTGGGTGCCGCATCGCCGTGCCACAGCCCCGGGTGAAACACAGACTGGGAACATTCCCTGTGAGACAGCAAATCAAAGCAAAAGCTAGACATGGTTCACCCTCACAAACTCTTGCAGGTCTGAAAATAGACCCGCTCCAGCCTCCTAAGTTGCTGGGAAAGTATTTTCCCTTCCAAATGACTTTATATGGAGAAGAGGAAACCTTCGGTAAGCAGCATCTACTCATTCGAGCTGGCATGGCCTCAGCTGCTCCCTCCCAGGTCAGTGCTCTGCGAGAGGCAGCGGCAGATGGGAAGTGCAAGCAGCTTCTGCCCTTCCCCATTCCCAAAGCTGCATCCTGCTTTCTGGCAGACTTATAAGCATCCTTCTTTACCTCTTTCTGAAGGCATTTCTCCTCCTCCTTTAGCCTGACCTTGAAGAGACCAAGGAGTTACAGAAGGAAGCTCCAAGACATCCAGACCAAAGAAGATGCTGGATGCTAAGCCTGTTGAGAGGCTCCCACTCAAGACCTCAGCAGCCCAGTGACCCTGGAAAGGCTGCAAACGTGACCGCAGCTTTGCCCCAAGTCCTGGAGACTTGATATGGAGTCGGCGTGAGGCAGGTCCCCGGGCCACCTTCTGTTTGCCCCAGATCTCCCTCCTGCTTCCCACCCCACCAGGATCAGCATGGAGCAGACTGGTACAGCTGGAAATCCCACCCCTGCTGTTTTACCACGGTTTGGGAAAGCTGCCTTCAGAGACCTTGTGCATGACCTTTATATGGCTACTTATCGGTCCTCTGGAGCTACATAGAGCTGGGAGGGAGAACAGGGTGGCACGGCAAAGAACAAAACCCCGAGCCCTCCCTCCCTCACCTGGCATGCAGGATGGGTCTGCCCTGGCCCTGGCATCGTGCCAGAGAAAAGCCTGCACCTCTGCAAGCCTCTTGCCGAGCTCAGTGCTCTGCTGCATCCAGCAGCATCCTCAACGCAATCCCAATCTCAAAGCTGGGGTAATGGGGAGGCCAATGCGGCTGAGGCTGCTCTGAAGCTCAGCTGCAAGCTTATAACCACGCTTGCCCCGGAAACCACCAAATGGGGAAAGGGCAAGCCCTCGGAGCGGAGAGGACACTGCCCGTGCTAGCGGACTGCCACAAGCCAACCCCTCTCCTGCCTTTTTCCCCCATCCTGCCCTCTTTTCCCACCTCCCTTTCCTTTTGCCAGTCTCTAAAGTATGCTGTCCCTGGGATCAAACAGGCAGTAGCTTTCTGTGAACACGCTTGCTGCTTCCCAGCCGTATCCGGATGCGTATTTGGGTTTTTTTGTCCCAGACCTCCCGGACAAGCTCTATCAAGAAACTTCTCCCAGCCATCACCTCCCCTCTTCTCTTCGGGTGACCTTGGCTCAGTTTTACTAGGAAAACTGTCATTATGGCACAAGGAGGACCATGAGCTAAAGCCTGGAAAGAATGTGAAAAGCTTGCAGTGGGAAACACAGAAACAAGGCATGGCAGCGCTTATGCATGGCAAAGCAAGTAGGGCTTTCAAAAGTCCGCCCTGATTAGACTTGCTACGTGGTAATCTCCTATTTAGTATGAACCTCAATCAACCTCAGCCCAACAAAAGATTAAACACATTTTTTTTCTAAACACAGCATGCCTTTCCAGCAACAGGAAAAACAAACGTGGGGAGGAATTTGCTGATCTGTTAGCATTCCTTCCTAGTGATTTTGGATATGCTATGAAGATTGAGAATGAAGACACAGGTGAAACGTGGGATCCTCTTGGGCAGTGGAGGTGTTTGCATAGTCCCCAGCATACGGGTGCTCTCCAAGACTCCGAGCTGCCGAGTAATATATTAAACAGTTTCCCTAACAAGGTTTTAGTGCAGTAACCATAAAAACTCAAGCTCCAATGAACCAAAACCTTTTCAAATAACTAAAAGCCTTTTAAGGAGGAATTTATGGCCTAACCTACAACAGTGGAAAAACCCCAAGTTACAGATGAATTTTAAAAATACAAGCATAAAGCTTCAGCCCTAGAAACTCTTGTCTCAAAATCCCAATGCACCACATGCTGGAAAAGCAAGCACCACGCTGAATCACATCGCACCCCCTCACCACGCTCCACCTGAAAAGACCTCGCGGTACAAAACAAGAGGTGTAACCCCACCACGCGCCCGGGCAGCTCTGCTCTGCCACCGGCTCTTCTGAATGCAGCACAAAAATGCGGGCAAGATCCGCCTGCACGTGCAACGCTCTCCTTTGCGGTGGGAGAAAGTGGGTAGCAAGGCCACTGCTGCAAGACCTCCACCCCTAGCTGATGCAGAAACCCAAACCCGCTTCCCAGGAGAGTTCGGGAATTTGGTTCATTTCCAACCACAGATGACTTAGCAAAACTAAATCTCTCTTTCCCCAGCAAAGAAGAAAGCCCTCATAAAATGTGGATATTCTTTTAAGTCACTTAAAATCTGGGAAAGAAGGAACGGGAGGAAAGAACTAAAGCAATCTAAGCCATGTGTTAACTACAAAGCACAAATCCGGAGGAGTTTCTTGCAAAACTTGATCAGATATGAACTATGCTCTCTGGTGTCTAACAGAGTTGGGAGCTTTTGAATTTAAGGCAGCTGTATCAGGAGAAGGTGAGCCAATGTCAGTGATAAGAGCGGTCTGCCATCTCCCAGAAGGTTTTCCCCCAAACCCCTGTTTCTGCTCTACTCTGGCAGTGGATTAAAAAAACCCAAAAAAACCCACCCACCCTCAAAACTGAAGTATTTCTGGCAAAGCCTCAACAGCTGAATTTGGATGGAATGAGCCAACAGATGTGATTTATGTTTCTTGATTTAAAATCGACCTGTGGGAACTCGGTACCTCTTCGTTTGCAGCGCAGATGTAGCTTTATGGAACACTGAGGCACCAGCAAAGCAAAACCACTGCTGGGGTAAAGCGGCAGGAGGCTGGGGGGTGGTGGTCTATTTGCCCCTGGGGCTGTCAGTCTCCGCAACAGCCTGGCAGCCATGATCCTACATCCATCAGCCCATTTTTAAGCGCTGTGGACAGCCAAGAAACCTTGCACCCACCTTTTCCTGAGCCCCAGAGCTGGTGGGTGGCACCTTAGCAAAAAAGCCCTCCTAGGAGGGATACTGTCTGGGTTTCTGGCAAGCCAAAATGGTACCCCTCTGGGGGACGGCTCAGCTCTGGTGACTGGGACCTCTTTGCTGCTGAAAGAGAGATTTAGGCAAGTTTAGTTACAGTCACCTTTAAATGAATCTCCCTCCTGGTCCTAAGCTCTGCAGCCTGTGGGATGGATCCTGCAAGGTGCTGAGCCCTCGTCACCACAGGGCAAACCCCTGCACATTCCAAACGCTGGGAAAAGACTTTCATGGAGCCACAGAGATTCAAGCCACGCTCAGATCAACAGAAATGAAGCAGGCTGCTTGGCGAGCCAGCAGATCATAGAATCATAGAATCGTTTAGGTTGGAAAAGACCTTTAAGATCAAGTCCAACCATTACCCTAACCCTGCCATCCCACCACTAAACCATGGCCCTAAGCAGCTCATCCACCTGTCTTTTAAATACCTCCAGGGATGGGGACATGACTACTTCCCTGGGCAGCCCATTCCGGTGCTTGACAACCCTTTCGGTAAAGAAATTTTTTCCTAATGTCCAACCTAAACCTGCCCTGGCACAACTTGAGGCCATTTCCCTCCCCTCCTATCGCCCACTACCTGGAAGAAGAGACCAACATGCACCTCGCTACAGCCTCCTTTCAGGTAGTTGGAGAGAGCAATCAGGTCTCCCCTCAGCCTCCTCCTCTCCAGACTAAATCACCCCAGTTCCCCCAGCCACTCCTCAGAAGACTTGTGCTCCAGACCCCTCACCAGCTTTGTTGCTCTCCTCTGGACATGGTCCAGCACCTCCATGTCTTTCTTGTAGTGAGGGGCCCAAAACTGAACACAGTATTCGAGGTGCGGCCTCACCAGCACCGAGTACAGGGGCAGGATCCCTTCCCTACTCCTGCTGGCCACACTATTCCTGATACAGGCCAGGATGCCATTGGCCTTCTTGGCCACCTGGGCACACTGCTGGCTCATATTGAGCCGGCTGTCGACCAGCACCCCCAGGTCTTTTTCCACCAGGCAGCTTTCCAGCCACTCTTCCCCGAGCCTGTAGCGCTGCATGGGGTTGTTGTGACCCAAGTGCAGGTCCCAGCACTTGGCCTTGTTGAACCTTGTGCAGTTGGCCTCAGCCCATCGATCCAGCCTGTCCAGGTCCCCCTGCAGAGCCCTCCTCCCCTCGAGCAGATCAACACTCCCACCCAGTTTGGTGTCATCTGCCCTTTGCCCAGAGAGGCCCCCAAATTTCTACCTCTAGGAGGTCTCTGTGGGTAGGTACAAAAGCAGCACCAGCTCCCCGGAGAATGAAACATCTCTGGTGTCTGTCGAGAGCCGCTCTGTGGTACGCTGCGTGTGGGCAAGAACAGGCACTCGGCTTCCACCAAGAGAGAAGTGAGCATAAAATACAGGCAAAGCCTTGCCTGACAATGGCAAAAGAACCTTGAGACCTCAACCCTGCTGGAACAAGTATCAGGGACTTCAAACCACAAGGCCTTTGGGCTGTAATGAGGCAACTTCAGCAGTATTTCCAGCAGTCATGACATGTTCCTCAAAGCAGGTATTTGCTGGTAGCTAATGATAAGAGAGATTTGTGGGTATCTATCTGCCCCTTCTTGTGCTGGTTAGGCAACAAGTCCATGCCTGGTATTTTTCATCTTAGAGAGATCGTCATGCCAAAAATCCTGCTAGCTTTTTGATGGGGGTTGGTGCTTTGAGGTTGTTTTTCTGCCTGGCTTGAGCTGAGCCATGCAACCCTAATTCTTTATGCCAGCTGGCTTTGCATGGCAGCGGGTACCATGGTCCTCCTGCCCCAGGTCCCAGCTGGCTGTAAACTCACTGCGTGCACTGCAAAATGAATTTCAGCCTAAATTACTGAAGCCACCAACTCTGTAAGAGGCTCTTTGGAACATCTGCACGCAGCTGGGTGACGGCAGCAGCAGGGGGCAGCTCCCTGGCCATTACGGCAGCCTCCCCTCCTGCCGAGGGGACCACTGGAGGTGGCACCCCTGGCTGCCTGTACCTGCCCCACCAGCAAGCTTCTGCTTTGTGTCCGGGCCTGCCCTGCCTGCAGGAGCTGGCAGCAGACCTGAGCAGAGCTATGCGTATTCATCAGCAGAGAGCAAAGAGCCAATCCATTTAAAGGCAATGCTGGAAAGCGGCTGGAAAACTTCACAGCATCGGTCTCCTGCACGGCCTTGGCACTGGGATTAGCTACAAAGAGGCTGCTGGGGCGCGAGGGTAGAGATGGGGTGCGGGTAGTGGCTCTCTAGCGGGGAGCGGAGCAAACCCCGAGCCGGCTGAGGTTGCAAGCGTGAGGGCAGAGCATGAGCCCAGCCGGGAGGGAGGGAACACCCTGCTCCCCCCGAGCAAACACAGGCAGCTTTGCCATGCCCTGCTGAGCTGACACAGCCACCAACAGCAGCCAGGCAGCCTCAAGGAGCTGGCAATCAAGCAGGGCACCTTTTTCCAGCCGTTCCCAATGGTCCTGCCCACATGCAGCCCACTGCAGGACGGACTGGATGGATCCCTACACCTGCCAAGTGCAGGCATAGCAAGAGTTATTTCCGTCCTCTCAGACTCTTCTCAACTGTGTCTTCCCTTTGCCCTCCAGCAGGAAGCTTTGGCTGCAATGGAAACATCTTCTGCATGGCTTCACTATTTTTGTGCAAAGAACACAGGCATCAGGTCTGAGAGGTCTGGGAAACGAGCAACAGAAAGATAATCCCAAGGACAAGCTCAAGGCGAATTATGTAGGGCCAAGAACTGGCTCCTTCCTTTTGCTATTTAACAACTAAGAAACACCCAAGTTGTTCTCAGTCGGTGGGCAGTAACTCTTAGCAAGCAAAAACTGCTGAGCACTGCACGGAAAACCCTGCAACAGGCACCGTGATGAATACTGACAGCTCAACTGGACATGCATTTGGTCAGCTTTGTCAAATACAGTTTTAATGAACATTTATCCCCTTGGCAGTATATCTATGGTGGAAAAAAGGTGCGGGTCTCAAGGAGTATTTTGCATGTTAAGCCTTACGTAGCCAAGTGCTTTGCCTCCAGGCTGCTTTACTCATGCCCACATGCCTGTAAGAAATCGGTGGGCCTGCCCCTCCTGGCAGGTACACCTCCTCCAGACCCTTTGCATACCTGGTACGTATGGATCAGAGAGGGAGACAAGGCTAGAGAGAGGGTATGAAACGCAACCCCAGTTAACCAAGGAATAGGAGCCCAAGCCTTTCAATTGCTTGTGGCCAGTCCCTGCGTCTCAAGTATATATTTTAAGGCAGAAGAAGAGGAGGTAGCTGCAGTTAAGACTCATTCCCACCTTGCCTGGGAGGTGAGGCTTGAGCAAACAGTGGCAGGAATCAAGGGAGGGATAAACTGGCAGCGTTTGCCCCATTTGCATCTGCCCGTGTCCTGTCTCCCGCCCCGCCACCCCCAGCATGTTGTAATGCTAGGGTGGGTGAGGAGGAGCATCTACCAAAGCCGTTCCCAGACACGTTCCCTTCTTCCGCTCAGATAGCCCATCTCCAGCTGCTGCCCTTCCTGCTGCCGACAGCAAAGGCCAACAGCAGCGGCAGCTCTGCATTTCCTCCTCCCGGGGACCAGCTTTCAAAACAGGACATGCAAAACAAGCTCTCCCTCTCCAGCTCCACTTGGGGAATTAAAAAAGAGCAATCAAACGCAGTCAGGACCCACTGCTGGAAACATGGTTTTCTGGATCTCTTCTCAGACGCGATCCTGATGGTCCAGCGAGTGCACACAGGCACCTCGGAGCCCATCTGCCACGAGCAGGAAGCCCAAGTCCCCTGTCCCCCAAGGACTTCTTTCCGTGCAAAAGCTGTCAGGCAAATGACTGATGTGGGCAGGATGCTGCCTGTTTGAGGTCTCCCTGTCCCGGATCCCACCCTAGACAGCGCCTTAAGGAGATCACGTCCGTTTGTGGTGGGAAATGGCAAAACCCAGAACTTCCACTCTTTGACTCCCACATTTAGGCTCTTTTAGAAACCCAGGAAAGTGCTGTCTTCTATCTGCAAAGGTACTGAAAGAGTCTCTACCCTCGGGGGCTGATGGGATAGATGTCTTCTCCTGCCACTGTTTCAAAATCACCGTGGAGATTACACTCCTTCCCCTCCCCACCCAATAGTCCCAACTGCCAGGAGGCCCTGAGGGCTACAGGAGTTCTTCCAGATGCCTACCATGTGTGTGGGCTGAGTCCTTGCCTCAGCTGCAAGCTACAGAGCGATGCGTATGGCCAGAAGAAGGTCCACAGCACGATGAAGGTTCCCGCAGCTGAGGGAAGTCTCCAAAGAGTCAGTTGCAACACTGCTACCGAGCAGCCCACGTCCCTCCTGCTGCCTTCCCTGAGATGCTGGGTCAGAGCTCTCCCAGCAGCAGGATCCAGAAGAGCAGCTCCCCAGAGCGCCTGAGGAAGGGACATTTTGCCAGTGGCTTGGCACCACATTCTCCAGCAAAGTTCTTGAACAGGCAACAGCCTGCAAAGGTGTCTCGCTGTGCATCTGCATACCCGAAGGGACCTCTGCCAAGGAAGCAATGCAGTTTGGGCATGGAGCAGCTGTCCCACACCACGGCCCTCTGTAGAGAAGCTGCCACTGTGATGACCAGGGGACAGAGAAAGT